TTATTAAAAACACTAAACACACGTTCAAATCTATTTTTAATAGCTTCATCATCAATAACACTACAAAGTTTATAGTGGTTTCTTAAGACTATTTTGCAATGATTACCTACGAACACATTACCGTGGTACGCTTGTCGCTCAACCTTCATATCTTCAAGGGCCTTATTAAGAGACCTCTCATGAGTCCCCATGCTACTTTTGGATATTTTTTCTAGGTCTTCACACTCCACCTGCAATTTAATATATTCAGTGTCTAAAAATTCGCGTTGTGCACGTATAAAAGAAATTTTTTCAGAAATATAAAGGTCAAGACATTCTATATCTTCACCCTGACATGCTAAACACTCATACTTCTCAATGTCACACAATACTCTCTTTTCCGAATCACCAATAATTTCACAAAATTGATGAAACAATTTTTGGCACGTACCACACTGCACCCAATCAATGTTACAATCGTATTTTGTTATTAAACACCTAATACTATCACACATTTCTTGCTGTTTAAAGGTTTTTTTTTTTTTGGAAGAGTTTAGAGATAATTCAGAAATATTTTTATTAAAAACTAACCAACGCGCCTGTAGATTTGCAACGTCTACAAATTGATTTCCTAATAAACGTAAAGCTTCTGCTGTTTTAGAACATTCAACGCTTTTAGCAGCCCACAATTCATTCGTTCTCACATTCTCATTATGCGACAAAGACGAAACAGCTTGACAATCTAAAGTCTTACACTCCTTCAACAATAACTTATACAGTTTTAACACAACTCCTAACATAATATGCAAAACAGGTGGCACTACATTATCTAAAGTTATTATGGGGAAAATCACAGGAGCAATAATTGAATTATGAAACTTACCTAAAGTTCTTAGGTTTCCACCTTGTCTATTTTCACACAAGTTCTCATTGTAAGCACTTTCCAGAGATTGTATTGTCCTCCTTAAGATGTTACAATTAGCAGGTGTGTGAGGCATAGAAGCATGGTTTTTTAGAGAATTCAACTTAACTAGGTCTGTAGAACTAGGAAAGCTAGCAGCTGAACCCTGGTGTCCCAGAACATCATCGATAAAATGAAAATCTCCACCTAAGAACAACCTGACTATTTTGCCTTTTAGCTTAAAATCTGACGACTGAATTCTTTTAATGTCGTTGGCAAAATGCCCGAGAACTAAGGCTATATTCTCACGACAGTCTGAACCCTGATACATACAAAACAAGTGAACATCGTATACAGACCCTGATGATTTAGAATTGACAACTTCAAAATGGAATTTCATATATTTCCCACCCTTATCACCAGCAAAAAGGAGCCATACTTCTTCGCCAAAACCGACATCCGAATTAAGGTGGTCGCGTACATAAAGATTAGTAAAAACCTCTTCAATATAAGTTGTCAAATTCTTGACCATCAGTACAGATACTAAACAAGGTGCTTCATTCGCAGATGGATAAAGTAACATGGACTTCACAGTGACATGTTCTTTATTGACATGCATTGTCCGCATTTCTTGTTCTTGTCTCATCTTGGGCTCAGATGGGAGAATCCTTGCACCAAGATTACACAGAATACGTCTTAGTCTACGGAATTCAGCCGTGGGCATCCTTAATTGGCTCTGTAGCTCTACAGCATCAGAAACACTTAACTGCTTAACTAAACCCAACTTATTTGCAACACAACAAAATACTGACTTTTCACAAGACATAGAATCACAAAACAACATAGACAAATCACTTTCTAAATCTGAACAAGCTAATAATCGAAGGAATATAAAAGCAAGTTTAGATCGTTTAACTGCAGCATGCCTACCTAACTTAGAATAAAGTTTACCATTTCCTAACTTAATGTAAGTATATTTTTTACTAACTATTGGCTTTTTAACTGATATATTCTGTGGATTACTTAATTTAAACCCACAAAATAATTCAGAGGAACCAATGTTGTCGTAGTCTAAATAAGAATCAACCACAACTAAATCCTTATCAGGGGCGGATCCAGCATTTTTTGGTGTTTGAGATAGCTAACTTCCAGACATGGAGCAAACTCCAAACATTTATATGTTTATACTTATATCAAATAAGGATGGTTTGCAAAAATTTGCGATGATTGGAGCCTGGGAACAAAAAAGCCCCAAAATTTGAGACGTACCTGCCCCAAACGTGAGAGCAACAAGTTGATAAAATATTTTTTGTACTATTCTCAACAAGACTTATATTTATCAATAAATTTTAAATTCCATTGTAAAATATGTTAGCGCTCAAAAATTATGACCATATAAAAATTGTAACCCCCTCGAATTGAGGGGGATTCAAACTTTACATGGTCATAATTTTTGAACACTAAAATATTTTACAATGAAATTTAAAATTTATGGATAAATGTAAGTCTTGTTGAGAATAGTACAAAAAATATTTTATCAACTTGTTGCTCTCACGTTTGGGGCAGGTACGTCTCAAATTTTGGGGCTTTTTTGTTCCCAGGCTCCAATCATCACAATTTTTTGCAAACCATCCTTATTTGATATAAGTATAAACATATAAATGTTTGGAGTTTGCTCCATGTCTGGAAGTTAGCTATCTCAAACACCAAAAAATGCTGGATCCGCCCCTGCTTATTGCAACTAGCAAAACATTTGCAAATTTGGCAACTGTTCTGGCTTAAATCACTAATTTTTGCAATTCTTTTTTCAATAATAATTTTTTTTAGCAATCTTACATTTTTGGCACGAGCAGATGCAAATTTACGCTATGCTGTTTTAATTTTTTTTTTTTTTAAAGTTGGAACTGCTCCTCCTGTTTTAGCCTAATACTCATAGTCTCTAATTGAGAACTTAATGAGTTACAATGTGTGTTGAGAGCCCTATTTTTAGAATTTAAATCTGTAATTTCAGCTTCCAACTTAAATACTTGCATTTTAAATTTTTCTATTTGCTCCATATTTGTTTTATTTTCAGAAGTTAATTGATTAATTTGATTCAGTAGCTCCTGACTGTTATTTAAAGTGAAAAAGTCATCTGCATCTGCTGATTTTTTTTTTTTGGGTGGAGCTTGCGACAGTTGCATTTTAAAAAATTCTTCGTTTTTTATAGCTTTAAAATTTTTTTTATATTTCTTTTTTTGTCGTGTTAACTTTAGGCACATTTTATCAAACTCGTCATTACTAGGCATATCAAAATTAATTGGCAAAAGAAAACTCATAAAACTAAATAAATCACTTCTTATTTTAAAGACTGTCATTAAAATGGAAATGACATTGTTACTGATCTTATCTGTCCTAATTAATCGCTTAACAAAAGGAAAGTTACACCTATCTTCCCAACCATTTTTCCATCCAATATGTTGTTTTAGAATTTCCCTCTCAGTTGAATACATAGTTATCAAAATAATATTGACTTATTAATCAATATAATAAAAACAAATAAAATAATATTAATTAACAAATATATGCACAAGATAAAAGTGGATTTAACAACTTATCTGATATTAGTTTGATAATCTAAAGAGAAAAATTCCGCGTAACTTTGTTTACTTTATACTTCAAAAATTGACTCGCCGAAACAGTTGTTTGGAGAATATTCGTTAATAAATAGTTTGGGACGTAACGCATAAAGGTTACGTCATCGCAAAAAAAACGTCAACACAAATGTACGCCTAAAACTAACAAGATTAGTTGTAAAACATGACATTTTTGAAAACATATTTCATAACATAGCTGAAGGCAAGTAAAATAATTTTTTTATTTTCATTTGCATAAAAGGTTGAAATTTCATTAACTTACGTCATCCATCAAAAAATTTATGTTTTGCATTTAAAAACGATTAATTAAAAAATATAAATGCTTTAAAAACAGTCTTTTTGTAAAAAAATCTCTAGGATGACGCAGGAATCTGATAGAATGGGCATTTAGGGTTAAGCATTCCAAATTTCAACTATCAAGCACTGAGCTATGTTAAGAAATCTTAGTTGGCCCAACTCATGTTTTGCGGAAAATATGCGAAAATTAGAAAAGTGGTTCTAAATTATTAAAAATATTTTGGCAATATTTATTTTTATACCAATTAATGTAAATATTTATTTAACAAGGAAAGATAGATCTTTTATATTTTTTTAAATGCAAGATGAAAGCATTTATATAAAAAAGTTACTATTAATTTAAAGTTTGTGAATTTTTATACTTTTTATGCGGAAATACTTTTTTTTTTGATAAACTCATGACGTCACGCTCGTTTTTATATTGAGTGAAACAGCCGTGTTGCATGCCTCTCATGTCATTAAGCCAATTGAACACATCTAAATAAGATAAACTATTTGATATGAACAATAAGTATAAAACATCTCTTCTAACAAATGAATAAAAATTCCTTTTTCCTACTTAATTTTCAGTAGAAAAAGTTTTTAAAGCAGAAACAATTCTTATATTTTTAGATTCCTTCTTTAGTAAAATGTTTTGTACTTTTGTTACTTTTTGTACTTTTTTGTACTTTTTTGTACTTTTTTGTACTTTTGTTAATTTATTACAAGTAATAAAAAATTTTAAAAGCAAAAATTTTTTTTTTTCACACAGAGGTGTTTTGAGATATTCGACTTAAAAGTTGGTTTATATAAATAAATTTTATTGAAAAGTTGTCTAATGCTTTTTTATTACACATGTGTTGGTTTAAATTTATTGATTTCAATCAATATCTTATCTGTTAAATATAATTATTGACAAAAAAACTTACCAAAATTTTATTTTATTGTCACAAAATTTCATAAGAATACAAAAAGAAATATAACAGTTATACGCTTTTGTCATTTTTTAAAATGATAAACATATGATAAAAATATACACAAACAAAATTTTCATAATAGTTGTACTCTTTGATCTGTATTTATTTGTTTACAGTTATCCGCTGTATATAATTCTTATTTTATTTTTAAAGATACAACAAATCAGAATTTCTTTTTTTAAATAATAAAATACAAAATACAATATCTTAATTATTATATCTTTTCTTTAGGTATTATAAAAGAAACAGTAATAAAGCGTTCAGTAACTTACATGAATCTTGATGCTGAGGTTGAAAAACGTATACATGCTACTAATATTCCATTGAATTCATCTCTAAATGGAACACTATCTGTATCTGCTGATGGAACTAATGGTCCAGAATACAGTAAAGAAGTGGGAAAAGAGCCTAATCCAACTGTTACATTTAATGAAGAGGGACTTAAGGACACAGAAAAAGTTGATGAAATGTATTAAGAAAGAATTAATATAATAATTTTATTATCAAAATGTATATTATTTTATATATAAAAAGTACAAATTATTTTAGTACAAATTATTTGGTTTTCCTTAAAATTTTATTAAAATAATATACAACAAAATCTGTTAAAGTTTTTCTTTATAAAATTCTCTATATTGTTTCTTAAAATTTTTTATTCAACATTTAATATAAGATGTTAATAATGCCATGTTAATGAATGAATAATAAACTTATTATGAATAATCAGTATCTTTGTCATCATCATCATCATCATCATCATCATCATCATCATCATCATCATCATCATCATCATCATCATCATCATCATCATCATCATCATCATCATCATCCTCAGCAGCAGCATTATCATCATCATCATCATACCATCAATCATAATTTGCTGTTTATTTAGCATATATGTTTTTAATGTTATTTACTATTTTGTCATCTATTATACTTTATGTAGTTGCTGTATTTTTCTTACATTTTCAGATAACTTAAATAAGTAATCTTTTTTGTCATATATTTATGTGTTTATTATTTACGTTTTTTTCTTCACTTGTTTATTGATGTGTTTGAATTTAACTTATAATTGTGTAATACAATTCATATTTTGATGCAAGAAATTGCAATTTAAATAAAATGCCTGGAAACAAGTCCTTGAAAAAAAAAGAATCAAAAGAGGATGGTTCACCCTAGTAAGTTTTATTTATATATTGTTATCTATTTTTAAAACAAATAGTTTACATAAAAATTAATGTCTAATATTCAATTTATAGTAATAAAAGAAATTTTCTTGTGCAGCTTTTATTGTTATTGCTATTATTTTATTATTATTTAAAAAAATGGTAGGATCATATTTCTGTAACTGATAGACATCTTTATCATTTCTTTTGATTTTTGTTGTTAATTTTATATTATTTTAAAATTGCAAAAAAAAAAGGTTTTTTTAAACAAATTTTAAAATCAAAATATTAATTTACATTTTCTTATTTTCTCTTCTTTTTTTTATACTACAAACAAATACTAATATTGTATGAGCACTTGTAACTGTTTAAATAAGTTTAAAACAACTGTTATAATTCTTATTTATTTATAATTTAAAAATTTTAAAAACATGTTTTTGAACTGTTTATTTTTATTTTTTAACTGCCTTGATAGTAGTGGGATTCCTCAAATAGCAACAGAAGATCAGAGAAAGCCTATAATACCACTTTGGCTCGAATGGAGTGATCAAGATATTTTAAATGAAAAATGGGTATATAGATATCTTTATAAATATTTATACACAGATACGCTAGGATGTTCTAAAATAACAATGGAATTTTTTAAGATTCCTATTTTTTAATTAATTGATTTGATTATTAATAGCTGTCTTTACTTCTAAATTTCCTGAATTTATTTTATATTTCATATGTTTTTGGCATATTCTTTTAGTAATTGTAACATTTTCAGAGATTTCGGATGATTTAAATTTGAAAAATCATTGTCTACAGCTGCAGTTACTTCTAATATTCTAAGTTTGCTCAAAACAAGCATTAAAAGCTTTTTTAGTTACTAAACAGTAACATATCAGGGACGATTTTCGCTTCCACTTAACATCAGAATGCTTATACTATTGTTTATACTTCCTTTAGGAACCTATGACAATATGCTAAAGATGTTAATAAATGTACTGTCCAGACCTTTGCGTAAAAGGCGTGTGGTTGCACGGCTATTATGACCATGCATATAATACTTTGTTTTAATAACTCGGCCACAGCTCTTTGCAATTTTTGATAATTAGCACTTTTAAAAAAGATGTTAAAAAAACAAAGCAAAATTAAATTGAAATAAACAATTCATAACCTGAAAAGAGAATAAAAACTAAAAAAAAAAAATAATACAAAAATATAACTTAAAAAATAAAAATTTTATAGAATAGCAGAATAAATAGAAGAAAAACCAGAAAAAATTAAAACATTTAATGTAAACTTAATTGTTAATTAAAGTTTCAATTAAAAGCAAAAGTTAAAAAAAAAATGATCACAGCTATATCAATCTTTATCATTCCCTCCCATGAATAAATAGGCTAATATAAGGGTGGATCCATAGTGAGGAGGAGGGGTATGAGGGCGCCCCCCCCCAATTTTTTTTTTTTTTAGAAATCAATATATTTAACATAGGATGTTTAAAACGTAAGCAAATTAGGCTGTTAGCTTTGAAATTTAATAAAATTTTGTGGTTCAAATTTTAAATTTTATATAAAAGTTAACAGGGTGCGATAAATCAACAAACATGCATTAAAAAACAGATGTGTTGGATAAACGAATGTCACACTTCTTTACTTATCTCATGCAAACGATGGCATTTGCTTAAGAATACAAACGCATCACTTTAGCAATTTTTTTCCCAAATAATTTTGGGATTGATAGTTTTTTATTTGTTATAAAAAATACATATTTAAATTAAAAAACAATTAATTTCTGAGACTTTTAAAAAAAAACATGATTACTTTTTTCAACAATATTACTTTTAAGTAAAATAACTAAGTATGCTATTGAAGAATGATAATGTTTTTTTTTTTTAATTTTCAAAAGTGATCATAATGTTTAAGCATTGTTTCTTTTAAAGTAATTAGCCATTACATTAAAAGTTTAAAGGAAATGCATTCATTTTAAATAAAATTTTGCATGCTTGGTTTTTTTTTAATTTCTTATTTTCCTTAAAGTGAAGTAATGTTTGTTTTCATATTAAAACACTTCTAAAAGTTTTGAAAAGAATTTTTAAGTTTTGCTGAAATATATATATATATATATATATATATATATATATATATATATATATATATATATAACCTAATAAAATATAGAATTATTACAAATATTATAGTTTTCATTTTTTATTGTGTGTTTAACAACACCAACAATATGATGAAATGAAATGTCAAAACAACTTTTATTTTATTTACAGTTTCTTTTTTTTTAATTTCTTCAAGTTTATAAGTTTTTTTATTAGTAAATAAATTTAACTAAAATTAGAAATATTCACTATTTTGTATCAATGGAGAACAGTTTACAATCATTAGGTCATTGCATATTAATTATCATTAATTTGCGCGCATTTTGCAAAATACGTAAAAAAAAACTTTGAAAAAATGAAAATTGATTAAATTTACCATGCATCTTTGATATATTTAATAACTTATTAACTAGAATAAAAATTATTTAAAAATAAAATTCCCTTATGTGACATAAATCTCTTAAATTAGACATTTGTCAATAAGTAAAGATACATACGTCAACATTCATTAAAAAAAAAACTTGTTATGCCTGGGATAGTTAAAGTATTGTTTGCAGATGCGATTATTTCAAGATTATTGTAGTTATTATGTTTTCTTATATGCTTTTTTCAGCAACAATATTCAATGTAAGCCAAGGAATGAAACAGATGTGTCTGAAATTTTCAAAAATCTATTTGTAAAATATATTTATGTATTTGTAATAAAAATAATTTTTTCATTAGAAATTATATTTCCACAATAAAACTGTTTGTAATAATTTTTGGATAGCTTCTGTACTCATTTTGCCTTACACTCTAATCTGAATATTTTTGTAAATGATCGGCTTTTATTACATTGCAATAAAGTACTCAGAAAATTTTGTAGCAGTTTAATTGTAATTATGGAATCAATTAAATTATAAAAAGCATTTTCATTTGCTTTGTTTTTTTTAGCGCATTTTTATAAAGCGCTAATTGTCAAAACTTGCAAAGAGCCAGGGCCAAGTAGTCAAAACAAAGTATTATATGTGCGGTCATATGCAAAGGCCTGCTGTCCGTAGCATTTCTTTCTTTTTTTTTCTCCTCATTTATTTGTGATATTCTTTTCAAAGTAACTGAATTGCATTTGTAGACCACACAGGTAAAACCACAGATGTCACATTTTAATCTTTTTAAGAAAAAATGAAATTTAGTGTTCAGAGACATTTGTTTATTGATATTGTATTTAATCATAAGTATTTTTGATGACATTTTAGTCCTAATACAACATTTAAATGTAGTTTTTTTGCTTATCACAAAAAAAAATTTTCACATTGTTCATTTGAAGACGAGGCACTCATTTTGGACATCTGTGAATTATCTCTTGTAAATCTGTTTTCCGTTCTCTTTTTTTTTTTTTATCATACTTTATCATACTGTCTGTAATCCATCACTTTATATCAAGTTTGTATAAACCAGACAAACACCCAATTAAGAACAAAACGTTAATGAAAATAAATGCTTATTTTTATTTTGAAATAAATAACAAATAGATTTTTCAGTATAATTTTAACTATTCAATATAGTTAGCAATAAGATCAAATGTCTTATTTTGTTCACTTAGAAATTGTTCACTTAGAAATCTTCAATAAGTCTTTGAATTTTTAACAAGAAAGGGGCATCAGAGATATGTATAGTTGTTTCTGTTTATAAGGCACTTTAATTTTTGATCTAGACATATGGGATGTAACACATAAAACAACATTTCCAGTTTCCCCTACATAATTAAATAATTAACATATATAGTTAAATTACAACTAGCCTTTAATATTTAAATTTCTTTATGTAAATATATTTTAAATGGACAAACAACCAAGAAGTTTGACTTTAAAAACTCTTTAAATTTCAGCAAATTTATCTTAATGACCCAATACCACCTCATATGTATGGTGTAGTGAAGGCACATAAGCCTAAGCAATCTTACCCAATGCAAATTGTAGTATCTACAATAGGCACACCAAACTATGGAATCTCAAATTACTTAGTAAAAATAATACAACCAATATTTAATGAAAACCCAACTCGATTAAAAAATTTGCAACAATTCGTAGAAAAAGCAAAATCGTAGGACATATCCGGTGAAAAAATTCAGGTATCATTGGACTTTATAAACTTATACCCGTCGATTCCTCTTAAAGAAGCAACTGAACAGCCACCCAGGAGTCTACCTTATTAAATGTCATTGTAACAAAAAGTATAAAGGTGAAACAAAAATGCAAATAAAAACATGCATGCAACAACACATAAACGGTACAATAGGAAATAAAACAGAACAATCTGCATTAGCCACACACATGAGACATTGTGCACAACAAATTAATTGGGACATTTGCAGAACTCTAAAAGTTGATGCTTAAAAGTTTGATAGGAAAGTTCATGAGGCACTTGAAGTACAGTACCACCAATGTGTCCCTCAACAAAATGGTATCAATTTAGATGAGCGACAATATGTATCAACAAATTTTTTGACACTATTTCTGGCACACTTATGCCAGAAAAAGATAAAAGCATCCCATTGACATAAAATAGAACTGTCGTTTTAAAAATAAAACATAAACAAAAACAAACAAAAAACGATGTTCATAAAAGACCCTGTTCACAACAATCCAGCGAAAATTTATTTTAAAAAATAAATTTAGTATCGAGAGAAGTTCATATTTATTGATGTTTATAAAATAATAATTTACATACTCTCATACATGATGTCTACATTCAATATATATATATATATATATATATATATATATATATATATATATATATATATATATATATATATATATATATATATATATATATATAGGGCTCGAAATAAGCGCTGGACCTCGGACTTTATCTAGCACTTGTCCAGTAATAAACGACATCTATTGGTCATTTTCTCCTACCCATATTTAATATGCTTTTTTTTTCTAATCATTTTAGTTGTTCCAAAATTATTAATAAATTCAGTAATGTATATAAACTTTTTTTATACAAAACAAAATTGAAGTTGAACACACGGCTACGTTAATAAGATACGTCATTTTTTTGAGTTAGTTCATTTTTTAAAAGACGCTAGAGCATTACATTTTTTTGAACTAAGTAGCTTGGTTTTTATCATTTATATTAAAACATTGTAATTAGTTATTAATTTAAATTTATAGTTTAGTATTTATTTTATTTTTTGTCCGATGGTTTTTATAAATTTCAAACAAATATTTTTGTTTTTAAAACCCCTTTTAAATTTATTTTATAATAATTTTAACGTAATAGTTATTTTAATGCTTATAGAAACCAGTACTTTTTATTACGTTATTATATTTGAGTTATTATGCAACGTTTGTTTTTGCACCAAAAAGTTTCGTTATTAAAAGTGTTTATAAAATTAATCCTAGAAAAAGTTTGAAAAGATTTATAAAAAAATACACATTTATATTATAAACATATTATAATTATATTATAAATGTAATTACATATAATATTCTTTGATAATTTAAATAAAATGAGTTTATTGTAAACATTATAATTAATTTCTTACCTTATTTAATAAAGTAATAAGTAAAATTAATAATTTATGTATTTAATATATTTACATAGCAATTTATTTATTTAATAATTTTGTATTTTTATTATACATTTTTATTATATATTTAATTATGTATTTAATAGTTAAATAATTTATGTATTTAATATATTTACATAATAATTTATGTATTTAATATATTTACATAATAATTTCGCATAGTATAGTAATTTTTAAAAAGCATAATATAAATATATTTTTCTTTTCAAGTTTTAGTTTTTTGAGCTTAGATTTTTTCATTTTCTTTAAGGTTTATCTTACAAATTTTCTTTTTATTTTCAGCGCATTTTGATATGCCTAGAGTTGTCAAAACTAATTGTGTGGTGAAGTTGTAAAAACAAAATATTTTATGCATGGTCAGGAATGGCGTTCAATCACACTTCTTTAATATTTATTGGATATGTCCGTCAAACTTAATTATTTATCGAACAAATTGTCCGGAACAAAAAAGTTTGTTATTTCAAGCACTATACATATATATATATATATATATATATATATATATATATATATATATATATATATATATATATATATATATATATATATATATATATATATATATATATATATATATATATACAATGTTCAAGTGGTACTTATATGAATAACTATGGAATTAAGATTGTTCTATAACTATTTTTCTGCTTTGTTGATGCTTAATGCTATGAGCAGAAATAAGGGAAGAAATACAAATCCTGCTCATCCTTTGCTTTCAAGTTGTTAAAATACGATATTAACTTTATTCTATCATCTTCTGTTGTAAGTTCACAATACTTTAGATTAACACAACTACATGGTATTCCTGTAACATTATTTATTAATCTTAGATCTCAAGCAAACTCCATTTTCCTCCCTTTGACTTCTTTTTTTTTTTAGGTTTTTCTGTGATTGTAGGGTTGTTTAGATCCACCATATTTTTAAAAATATAAGTTGGTCACGTGACTGTTTTACCATTGGTTTAGCTTTAAATAACTGGGACAACTGCCTTTTTTACAAAGTAAATATTGGGCAACAGTTGTTTCAAAATTACCTTTTTTTTTAAAATGACCATAGAACCTTGTAACATAGTCTTTTTGTTATGAATTTTCAGATTAAATAGCTTAGTACCAGTATATCATAAAGATATCTTAAATTTGATATTTTCAAAAAGTAAACATTTGTGGTTTTACCTGTGTGGTCTTCATTTGTTATTAAACTTTCTTCGTGACAAGTTTCTATCTAATAGAATTAAAAAATAAGAATTTTTTCATCCAGGAGAATCTACAACAATTGTTTTTTTTTATTGAATTTTTTTGTCTCCTATAATATGTACTTATGACACTTTTATTTTTCCACAAGTTACTGTTATTCTTTTGTTTTTTTTTGCTTACAATACATAAAACAGATAACCTAAATAGAATACTTTTTAGTTTTATCATGGAGATGTTACAATACATTCTTTAATGCAATTTTTTTTTGCTTGAGTTTCATATGAGTTGATTTTTTTTTTTTTTTACACCAAGCTAATTAATAGCACACTAAGGACATATGTTCTAACAACTTTATTTGGAAATTTAAAAAGTGAGGTTTGCTGTAAAGTATTTAAGTTGCAACAAAAAATATATAACAAAGTAAAATTAAAATTTAGATAAAAACATATAAAATTAAATTATTAGATTAAATTTTATTTGTCTTTTAATTAGATTTTTATTGGTGATAATTTAATGGTGTTTTTCAAACAAAACTTAGTAATTTGGCTTTTTTTTGAGATAATATGTTTATTATATAAAACCCAAGAGTTAAGGATCTTGTAAACTCTTTTTAGAAAAAAAAACAACAAATAATGTTTTTTCTTTTGAACAAAAGTTTATTTTATGTGATAACAAAACAAAAAATTAAAATAAAAATTTATATGCATATAAAAGTAAGCACAAAAGAAAAAAAAAATGAAAAAATGAAATGTACATAAATAAAAGTCAACCAAAAATATTTTATTTAATTACTTATTATACCAATAAAAAAGATTTTTGTATGAATATAGAATAAAATTGTTTACAGGATCCATCTAAAAAAGATAAAGAGAAAGTAAGAAGCTCCTCTGCTCAAGTGGTAAAATTTTTTTGAGGTTACTAATTATGTTTTAAATAAACAAAACTGAAATATGCTTTCATCTGTATAGACATCACTATAATTTTGAGTGTTTTGATGATAAAATTTTTAGAATTTTTTTGATGATCCTGAAGGTAAAGTTTTGCTTCCTCCATCATTGAATTTACAGGTTAAATCATGGAAAAGACCATCAGATATCATTACTGGAAAGGTTTTGATTTTATGTATATATTTTATATTTATGAAATAAACATAATTTTTTAAGTTTGAAACCTCTTAAACCATTCATTGATTTTGATAAAAAAATAAAAAATTTAACTAAAGTCATTTTATAACTTTTGCTTAAAAGACTGCAGTGATTGTTGACCCTGAATTTGATCATATTGGCGATCTGTTAATAAAAAATGGACATATTGTTCAAGATAAGGTAACTGATTTTAATTTTGTCAACTTTTTTTTTTTGCGATGCTGTTTGGTTTTTTTTTTTTTTATAGCTAGTGGATCTCTAGTCAGGTATCATAAAACTTTTAATTATTTTATCAAAGGATCATTAAAGTTAAAATTAAAATATTTTACTTTATGCAAAAAAAAAATTTTCATTATGCATAAGAAAGTTTGGGAAGAAAACGTCACAAATTTTACTAGTTTTTGTTCAGGGCTTTACTATTACAGCACACCATTATTTTCACTGATGCCACTGGCACCTTCTTTATCATCACTGATGCCACTTGCATCAGCTTTATCATCACTGATGCCAATAGCATCTTTTTTATCATCACTGATGCCACTGGTAACTTCTTTACCATCACTGATACCACTAGCATCTTCTTTATCACTGATACAACTGGGATTAAGTTATTAATAGAAATGAATGAATAAATATAAAGGATTCTTACTAGATTCAAAATAAGTTTTTCCGGAAATTGTTGAAATTCATTAGGGTTAAAATCAAATGTTTTTGGTTTTTATTCAAAGAAATTAAATGGAATTTTATAAGAGTTGCTTACACTGCATTTAAAAAGTAAAGTTTTTGAAAAAGAGAGGTAGTTTTTTTTATTACATAAATTGCAAGTTTTAAGTTAATTAAAATTATTGAAGTATCTGATATAAATAAGATACTATAAAATGTTACTATAGGTCTTGATAAGATAAATTAATAATTTTGATGTATTATGTCCTGGAAAACTTGTATTACGAATTTTACCTTGAAAAAACAAAGATTTTTATATTCAAAATAACTTTTAATCTCAAAATAACTGGGTTTTGTGATATAACTTTATTTTTTTTAAACATTGGTTTTTTAAACATTTATTTTATCTTTATTGTAGTTAATGGTGGATGAGACACACACAACAACTGAGGCAACTACCCTCTAAACACATTGAAAACAAAACACCTATATATTTTTGTTTTTTATTTTAATCAAACTATCAATACTTTTAGGTAATGAATGCAATTATCTCATGCATTTCTGTTGTTTCATCATATTTTTGTCAAGCACAGTTTAATGAAACAAGCAGCAGTTCTTTAAAATTAAAATCGTCTTTAATAAAAGAACAGAACAACACAAAAGCTGATAAAATTAGAAAAGAAAATGAAATAAAGGATGAACACTTTTGTAACCCTTGGGATCTTATCTGGCCTAAAGAAAATCCAAAATCTTATAGTTTACCAGTTGTAAATTTATCAGGGAAATATGCAGTTAAACTATTTTGGATGGTAAGCAGTTTTTTAATTTACAAAATAACATGTCAGCAGTGATGGATCGAGGATATTTTGGTGATTGAGATGAGGCTGTGCAAAAAAAATGTGATGATTGGAGGCTGGGAACAAAAAAGCCCTTTGACTTCATACCCCCATCCCCCACCCCAAATATAAGGGGCAACAAGTTGATAAAAATTTTTATGTGCTATTCTAAATTAGATATATATTCATTGATAAATTTTAAGTTTCATAGTATTATCTCTTAGCATTCGAAAATTAGGACCATATAAAGTTTGAACCACCCTCAATTTGTGGGGTTTCAAATTTTATATGATCATAATTTTTGAATGCTGAGAGATAATACTATGAAACTTAAAATTTATCAATGAATATATATCTAATTTAGAATAGCACATAAAAATTTTTATCAACTTGTTGCCCCTTATATTTGGGGTGGGGGAAAACTTGAAATTTATTGATGAATATAAGTCTAATTGAGAATAGTGCAAATTGGGATGGAGGGATGAAGTCAAAGAGCTTTTTCATTTCCAGCTTCCAATCATTGTAATTTTTTGCACAACCTCATTATTTGACATAAGTATAAATATACAAATGTTTAAAGTTTGCTCCATGTCTGGAAGTTAGCTCAATCACCAAAAAATCCTGGATCCGTCACTGCATGTCAGCATTGAATTTTTAATGCTGTCATGTTATTTTCAAAATTAAAATTTTTTTTTATATCTTTAACATTGATATAGACAAGCACAAACATGCTGACAGTTTATTTTTGACATATTTTCATTTTTTAGCTGCCAATAGATGCGCTAATATTCTGTACCTCTTTAGGCAAATTGAGACTAAATTTTTTATTTGGAACTACATTTTTTAAAGTTAAAAAAAATTTTTTTTAGGGGACACAGAGAAAGATTATTGTTGATGATACTATACCATGTGATCAAAATAACTTGCCTTTATTGCCATTTACATCTAGAGGAAATGAACTTTGGTTGCCTATACTGACAAAAGCTATTCTTAAAATTGCTTCATTACAGTTAAGTAAAGACATTGATAATATTTATTATATTGTATTAGAAAAGCTATTCTTAAAATTCCTTCATTCCAGTTAAGTAAAGACATTAATTAATAAATACTACTATAAAAGTGTTAATTAGTTTTCCTACGATATTATTTTAATGTTGACATTGGTTATGTAGCTTTTTTGTGTTTTAAAAGTTTAATTAAAAATTCATAGGCAATTATTTTCAAAAATTTAAACAAAAATTTTTTGCCTAATAATTAAGCAATTATGGCTATTAAGCACATTAACTAAAAACAATAAAAAACACTAAATACCTAAACAAATGTTGTCTATATTTGTTCATTATAGATATTCCAGTATTCTATGTTTACTAAATAAAGTTTTATTGCTAACCTTTGCAGAGCACAGTGAAATGTGTCTTAAGTTGAATTTAAAAATGTCTTTTTTAATACCAAAATACCAATATTAAAAATATTACTAAAAACAAATAAACATATTTTTAATTTTTAGTTACAAATAACTATTGTTCTTTGTATTGCACACTGATATGTGAATAAAGTCTAAACTTAAATGTGATATTGCATCCTGCATATACAAATTTGAATGTGCAGGAAGTAGTTTTAATAACATAAGATTTTATTTAAATATGCATGCATATTTTAATGTATTGAATTTGTTTTCCAATTCAATACATTAAAAAATTAAATTTAAAATTTAAAAAGAAAACCATTGTAAAAACCATTCAAAGCCAATAATCTACCATTTATGGCTATTTTAATGCATTAACTTCAGAGTTGAAAAAAAAAAAAGAGCTATATTAGTAAAGATTTGATTTTTTTTTTCAATTTGGTGCTTATTTTCAAAAAATCAAAAGAAATTTTTAAAAGGTTTTAGAGAGTTTATTAAAAAAATCTTTATCCTAAAATGTTTAAGTAATTTTTAAATGGTTTTTGTTTTCTTAATTATTATTTTGATATTATAAATAAATGTTTTTTTTTTTTTTTTTATATAGCATTTTTATTTATTTATTTATTTATTTTTTAGTTATTGCAACAATATTATAAATGACCTACAGGACTTTCATGTTGTTTATTGCTTACTTGGCTGGTTACCTGAACTAATACCCCTTAATGAAAAGTATAAAGATTCTATATGGAAAATGTTAATGCAAAGTTTGTCAGTTTGGAAGCTTCCCCAATCACCTATTATTGTGGAACATACAGCTCCAGATGAAAAAAGCTAATAATTTTTTTTTAACTAAAATAAATATTTGTATGTATTTTACTGTTGATTTAGGTCAACACTTAAATAGTTTTTGGTAAAACGTAGTATTAACAAAGCATTATGTTTTAACTTTGACATTTTATTTTATAATAAAAATATAATACAAAAAGCCAGTGTTTTTTTCCCTAGTGATACTTAAAACATTTTTTGAAATTGAAAAAGTTTTTTTTAATCAAAAACTTCCCTTTATGATTTATAATAAAATTATTAAACATGTCACTTGAGCTCTCTGAGTAAGTCTTTGCTTCAAACTCAGAATCTTCAACACAGAAAGGTTTATTTTGAAGGTCAGATTTTATTTTGAAGGCCAGATTTTATTTTGAAGATCAGATTTTATTTTGAAGGTCAGATTTTATTTTGAAGGTCAGATTTTATTTTGAAGGTCAGATTTTATTTTGAAGGTCAGATTTTATTTTGAAAATTTTATTTTGAAGATTTTAAATCTAATTAAATAACTAGAAGAGTATTTTTTTTTGGTGTTTTTGTGTATGAGCTAAAAACGCCAAAAGATCTATCAGAAATTCTCACATCAAAGGTAGCATTGTTTGAATAAATGATACTATCATTTATTCTTGTCTTGATAAGAAGCCTACACTTTCTAATTGCTTGGAGGGGGCATTTGAGCTTGAAAAGAATCTCACTTCTGCTACAGCATGGTGTTTTCAGTGGCTGGTGAACTTTAACTCAGATAAAGCACAATTTTTTTCAACTAGTTGTTATCGCAACAATCTAGATCTTCCTATATTTATTCCTATATTTTTTCTCGATTTTGAATACTCTGCTTGCAACTAAAAGCTTCACATTAGTACTAAATGTTAAATTTGAGTTGGCAATGCTTCTTCCCAAATCTGCAACACTTTTTGCACCTCTTGATGTCTTTGTCTTGTTTCAGTTTTTTTTTGAATGTTGCACTTGCTGAGTTTCATCTGAAGATTCACTGAAGTCAATCATGCTTTTTTTTATTTGCTTTGACTTTTTGGCCTCATCATTATGCTTTAGCTTTTTGAGCACCTCAGATGTACCTAGATACTAGTCTTTGAGTTTTTCTGTGAAGTGTTGCAATATTTGATACATTTGAGGAGGAGTCATTAGTGTTATTGTCAGGGATGCGGAGTCCCAAAGAAGACTCTAGATTTGCAAGTCACAAAAAGATTACTTCTTTCAAGTTTTTGGTATCCAGGAGCTTTAAAAATATAAAAAAGCATATGGGCTACTAATGGGGAAAAAATCAAGAGTTATAGGTCAGAAGAACAATCAATTTTTGAACCCGGAGTCCTTAGGTATAATGGCGGCAAGGATTCAGGGACTCCAGGACTCCGGGATTATAAATAATAAGTTCCAAGTCATTAAATACCATAACTTTTTTTCTTATAGCAGATCATTAATCAAGCAACATGTTTAGAGCTTCTGGATACTAGAGACTATAAAAAAAATAAAGTTATCCCTGGTTATTGTTAAATTTTCCATATCCCTGGTTATTGTTAAATTTTGAAGTTGGCGAATTGTTGTAGTTTGATGCTGACTGATGTTAGATAATGATATGAGATGAGTATGATGAAGTAGGCTTGATTGAGGATGATAAAGCAGGCTCGAATAAAGATGATGGAGCAGGCTGATAGGGTACTCGAAATATTTGAGCAATTTTACATTTGATTGATAAACTTTGTTAACATCAAATGGAAACAAACTAGTGTTTTGAAATCCAGTGATTAATTGTGTTCCTGTAAATGCGTCACAGGAGCTAAAAGGTTTTGCCTGTAGCTGGATAAAGTAATTTGCGCCAAACTTGTTTAACTTGACAATATACACCTATGTCTAATGGTTGAAGTATGTGGGACAAATGAGCTGGTAAACATATCAGCCTTATGTTATTGTCATTGCAAATATGCGCAACATCATAAGTAACATGTGAGATGTGTCCGTCCAAGATTAATATTTGAATACCTGTAATTAAAAAAATTATTTGATTAATTAATTAAACTACTCAATTTAAGCAGACCAAACTAATTACCTGGAATTAATTTGATTACCGGTATATATACTTTAGTGAGCCATTGAGTAAATTATTTCTTTTCCATCCAACCCAACTTGGATGTTGTAAATACGGTGTAATATTGATTTGTAATACAGATGTAATATTGTAGTACAGATGTAATATTGATTTGTAAACTACAAATGGTGGCAGAAAGGTACTGGTAGCGTTGACACAATAACCGACTGTGTAATTAATTTTTTGTTGTTACCAACTAATTTTAATGGGAATTTAGCACCAAACAAATTATATGCTGTTTGCCTTGATTGCCTGAAAATCCAATTTTGTCAAAATTCTATGACTTACACTAAGTGTTATTGTTGATATTTGTTTCAAGAAATTGTTTTTATAGTGTATTGAAATAACTTTTCATTTTATCCTCTGTACAAGAAGAAACTCTGAGAGGCAAAATATTGCCTGCTACTCTGACACTTAATTTATGGCTCCATTGTTTCATGAAACCTTTATAACATTTCTGGTACCATTTGGTGGAGCATATGACTTTGATTTGTAGATACCAAATAACCCTAAACTATTGCAATGACATCTGCAATCCTTCTGCCGAATCCCAAATCAACTACACTGATAAGTACTGAAACAAGAGATGGTGCTAAACAATTGAAACCATTGAAACCATTGTTTCAATGGTTTACAACCATTGAAATTGGTTGGCAACAATGAAAAAATTACTTATACAGTTGGAAATAGCACCAATGCTGCTTGTTATTGTCTTGTGCCATACATTTTTAAATCAAAAAAACGTCTGTACAAAAATTAGTGCTTAAGTGACCCAGACAATGCTGTATATGCTTATATAGCATTTTTTTGGCCATTTAAGCACTAATTTTTGTACAGACTTTTTTATGATTTAAAAATAATGTATGTCGCAAAATGATAACAAGCGGTATTGATGCTATTTTCAACTGTATAATTGATTTTCCATATGGAAGGATGAAAGATAAGCAATTCATGCAGTTGTTCACTGGTGTGTATGTTCATGCCAATAAAAAAATTCTAGTTAAATTGTTTAGTTGATTTGTTAAAAATTAAATAAATCCAATTTTATTTACTCAATTATTGGTACTCATATTTTAGTCATAGATGGACACTTACCTTTCAGGTTGGACTTATTTGTATTAAAAGCAATATCTTGTTAATTTGCTTACCAGCTCATTTGTCACATATTCTGCAGCTACTAGATGTCGATGATTATTGCCATGTCAAAAGAATTTAGCGCAAGTCACTTTAAGAGTTTTATGCAGAGACAAAGTTCACCAATTTGTCAAAAGAATGTTTTAGTAAACTGCAAGCTAAACTTTTTAGCTCTTGTGAAGTTTTTACATGCAATAGTCACTGGATTTCAAAATACTGGTTTCTGCTCAACAAAAAGAAAATTGATCAATCTAAATTACAAATTGGTAATAGGTTTAAAACACTTTCATCTCAGTCTTAGTTTTTGTCATTTCAACCACCACAATCTTTGCCAGTGTTACGACCACCATCACCACTAGCTGCACCATCTTAGCCACTGCCATCTGAATCTACACCAACAACATCTAGCATCAGCATACAGTATAGTACCAGTATAGTACCAGTATAACACCAGCTCGAAATTCAATTCCACTGTCAACTCACCTGCAACCATCTTCAACATAACTTCAGCTATTCAAAAAAAAATTCAAATAGAATTTGAAAACAGTGCAATGGCCCAATCCCTTTGTAGCAAATGTTTCAACATTCTGACCCCTCCAATTATTGTTCAATCAGTCTTCTTTCTGTTATTAGCAAGGTCTTTGAGTATTTGATCAACAAATATTTCACATCTCATCATGAATCAAATAACTTACTATCAGACAATTAATATGGTTTTCGATCCTCTTGTTCTATGGCTGACTTGCTAACTGCTGTAACTGAAAGATTTTATCATGCATTAGATGAAGGCAGCAAGGCTAGGACTATTGCTCTAGACATATCAAAGCTTTTGACAAAGTTTGGCATGCTGGTCTTCTCCATAAGCTTGTTTCATATAATGTATCTGGGAAAGTTTTTGAGATTATCAAATCTTTTCCTTCTAACCGTTTTATCAAAGTCATCCTTGAAGGCCAACACTCTTCTTCATTTCCAGTAGCTTCTGGGGTACCTCAAGGTTCTATCCTTGGTTCTGTTTTGTTTCTTATCTACATTAATGATCTTTCTGACAACCTTACATAAATAGTAGCTCTTTTTGCTAATGGCTCAACTTTATACTCCTGTCTTGACAAAAAGTCTTCTCTTTTTGATTGCTTAGAATAGGCAGCCTATCTTGAATCTAATCTCATTTCTGTAACAGATTGGGGCTTGCGTTGGCTTGTGATTTTTAAGTCCAACAAAACTCATTTATTTACTGCAAACAACTATTGCAATACTGTTGACATTCCTATATTAATGAACAACAACCCTCTCACTGAGTCCTCTTCTTTATGTCTTCTTGGAATATTGTTCACTACTGACCTTTCATGGAAACCATATATACAATCGATTGCTAAATTAACATAGGTTAAGGTTGCTTCTCTTTATCATGCTCGCCATTTTCTTACTCCTAATTCCATTCTTGATCTCTACAAATCTTTTATTAGTCCCTGTATGGAATGTTGCTGTCATATTTGGGCTAGTTCTTCTAATTATACTCTTTCTCTTCTAGACAAGGTCCAAAAACACATTGTAAACGTAGTTGGACAAGCTCTATCTGCCAAGTTTGAGCCTCTCTCTCATTGTTGTAAAGTTGCATCTCTTTCTCTTTTCTACAAATCCTATCCTAAATTGGTCCCTGCTCAAAGGAGCTATCATCTCTAGTTCAATCAACTAAAACTCATTCTCCTTTGACTCGGTCTGTATCTGTCATGCATGCTCTAATAACTTTTATTTGTCTAATTTTTTTTCCCC